TCCCAGCCTCTATCCATTAATCTTCCATAACTCCTAATAAGCACACATAATAATAAGAAAGAAAGGAGAGATGGATTCATGCCTTCCCAATGGTATTAGCATGTAAGTGAATGTAATGAATTCGACTGGCATTTGAACGCTCGCTCTCCGATTTCTCAATCCGAGCCTCTATCCATTAATCTTCCATACCTCCTAATAAGCATATATAATCATAAGAAAGAAAGGAGAGATGGATTCATACCTTCCCCAATGGTATTAGCATGTAAGTGAATGTAATGAATTCGACTGGCATTTGAACACGCCTCTCCGATTTCTCAATCCGGGCCTCTATCCATTAATCTTCCATACCTCCTAATAAGCACACATAATCATAAGTAAAAAAGGAGAGATGGATTCATGCCTTCCCCAATGGTATTAGCATGGAAGTGAATGTAATTAATTCGACTGGCATTTGAACCCGTCTCTCCGATTTCTCAATGCGAGCCTCTATCCTTTAATCTTCCATACCTCCTAATAAGCACACATAATCATCAGTAAAAAAGGAGAGATTGATTCATACCTTCCCCAAGTGTATTAGCATGTAAGTGAATGTAATGAATTCGACTGGCATTTGAACGCTCTTTCACGATTTCTCAATCCGAGCCTCTATCCTTTAATCGTCCATGCCTCATAATAAGCACACATAATCATAAGAAAGAAAGGAGAGATGGATACATACCTTCCCCTAGGGTATTAGCATGTAAGTGAATGTAATGAATTCGACAGGCATTTGAACCCGTCTCTCCGATTTCTCAATGCGAGCCTCTATACTTTAATCTTCCATACCTCCTAATAAGCACACATAATCATAAGTAAAAAAGGAGAGATGGAATCATGCCTTCCCCTAGGGTATTAGCATGTAAGTGAATGTAATGAATTCGACTGGCATTTGAACCCGTCTCTCCGAATTCTTAATCCGAGCCTCTATCCATTAATCTTCCATACCTCCTAATAATCACATATAATCATAAGAAAGAAAGGAGAGATGGATTCATACCTTCCCCTAGGGTATTAGCATGTAAGTGAATGTAATGAATTCGACTGGCATTTGAACACGTCTCTCCCAATTTCTCAATCCGAGCCTCTATCCATTAATCCTCCATACCTCCTAATAAGCATATATATTCATAAGAAAGAAAGGAGAGATGGATTCATACCTTCCCCAAGGGTATTAGCATGTAAGTGAATGTAATGAATTCGACTGGCATTTGAACCCGTCTCTCCCGATTTCTCAATCCGAGCCTCTATCCATTAATCCTCCATACCTCCTAATAAGCATATATAATCATAAGAAAGAAAGGAGAGATGGATTCATAC